AACTACATGAACATGGTGGGGCCTTAGAATTCCAAGCCTCCTGGAGGGGAGGACAGCCTTCCTCCTCATACTTAAGTCTTGCTGCTCTGTGACAGTCACAAAGGCTGACATTAGGCAGGTCTTGTGTGTGTTAGGGTGGGCTGCTGAGGTGAAGAGAAAAAACTGTCCTCTTGAGGTACAAGTCATACAACTCCAACACACATATCTTTGAATTTTTAATTAAAAAGTTAAGAGGAAAAAAGTCACTTCTCTGTTCCTTGTTACTACCTGGTTACGTTCCAGTCTTCCACTGATGGAACTTTGAGAGAAGTGGCTGGTTTTAATGTGGGACACCACAGGATGGGTGGGTTTGCCATCAGATTTGCTCTATGCTGGGTCTGGGGTCTACTTCATCTTACCTTCAACCACCCAGAAAGGTCAAAGCTCAGACGCAACAACTCCACAAGGCACCCACCCTTTGTCACCATCTGTTTATATCCCGAAGAAAGATTTGATATTGCAAAACCCTGAAATTTAGAGCAAGTGGAGCAAGGAACAATCCATTCCTTGTTTTAAATCAAGTTGTCATAATCCAAAGGCAAGTTCCAACTTTAATAACAAACACCCAGTGTTATGACATTTTACCTTTTCCAACTATTTATGTAGGCCCAAATATTGTGTTTAAATTTTAAACTATAGAGTTAACATAAAACAGTCCACTTTCTTAAATACAGTAAAAATAAAGCTAGTTATGCCAATTTTGTTTCCCCTTTAGGCCTCGTTCTTTAAATAGATCATCCATTCAATGAATGTCTGTTGAATGCTCAGTGTCAGACACCGTGCTTGGCACAGCATACCCCCAAATAAACCAGCATTAGTCCTTGTGCTCTGAGCACTACAGAAAAACAGGAAGAAAACAATGGAAGCCACTCTTAAAATCACCTGTTCTTTTCCATCTCCAACATCAAAAGATGTATCAGAGATGACCGGCGTTCCCTTTTCCATCCTCTTCAAGCCCTGTCCTCCCAAACCAAGTCATAATGAGATCTAAAAGCTGCAGGTTCTCAAACATCACAAGGGTAAAGCTTAAATCACATTTGGAGTATGGTTTTTCAGCAGTTTTGTGAACTCAGGCTGTGAAATGCAGAAATGAAAGTGGTAGAGAAAACAGTATTTTGCAGTCACCCAAAGAAAGATGAAATGTATGATGCTCCATGGCCTTGGCATCCCTCCTCTTCATCCCACACTCAGATGGCAATTGGATTTTAACAAGGAGTAGGGTTTGTGGTTTGGGAAATACAGCATTTTTACTGCCTTGGGTCATATTTGAAATATTTGCAGCCGTTTAAAATAGCGTAATGTTATTTTTTCCCTTGTCTTCAAAACAAACCCAGCAAGCTTTTCTAAGTCATAATAACAAGCATAAAATTGGGACATTGGAAAACCCATGGGCAGGGCTTTGGAAAATCCATTCTCCCTTGGGACAAGTGTTTAGATTTGGTTGCAAAGGATGATTAGCTTTTTGGAGGCCCACCTGACCTTGAATGACTTTGGGACCCCAAAGGAAGAAGGAAGGACTCCAGAGGCTACAGAACTGGAATGTCCCACCCAACTGTTCTTCGGTGCAAGGATGGAAGTATGCACAGAGGCTTTGGGACTTTCCTTTAGCTAAGACGTCCTGTTTTTTATTCTGGAAATTTCTTTGAAAGAAAAAATAATCCAGAGACTCATATTTATTTAAGTGAGCAATTCCCAAAACCCATTGCTTTGGAGTTCTGTCCTGCGAGCCATGCTATCTGGGGCCTATCCCTGCCAAAGGGCCTCAGGTGGGGCCAAACGCTCAAACAAGTGAACTGGCCTCAGACACAAGTGTACCAGCTTTCCATTTATTAAAAAAATTATTAGAAAAATGAAGGGTAATCAGTCTTAGCCCAGAAAGAAATACACACACACACACACACACACACACACACGCACGTATGTATATATAAGTATGTGTATGTATATGTGTTTTTTGTGTATATATATGCGCACTTATGTACCATACGATGATGCTTGGTCAACAATGGACCACATGTATAGTGGCTGTCCCATAAGATTATAATACTAGGCCAGGCGTGGTGGCTCACACCTGTAATCCCAGCACTTTGGGAGGCCAAGGTGGGCGGATCACAAGATCAGGAGATTGAGACCATCCTGGCCAACATGTTGAAACCCATCTCTACTAAAATAAAAAATAAAAATAAAAAAAAAGAAAAGTAGCCAGGCATGGTGATGTGCACCTGTAGTCCCAGCTACTTGGGAGGCTGAGGCAGAAGAATCACTTGAACCTGGGAGGTGGAGGTTTCAGTGAGCCAAAATTGTGCCACTGTACTCCAGGCTGGTGACAGAGTGAGATATCATCTCAAAAAAAAGGAAAAAGATTATATAGTACCATAATTTTTGTGTACCATTTCTGTAGTTAGACATATTCAGATACACAAATGCTTACCATTGTGTTCCAGTTGCTTATAGTATTCAAGACAGTAGCAACATCTATAGGTTTGTAGCTAGGAGCAGTAGGGCACGCCATAGGTGTGTAGTAGGCTATATCATCCAGGTTTGCACCATAAGTACATCCTAGGATGTTCTCACAATAGCAAAACTGCTTTTACCAAAACATATCCCTGTTCTGTTAAGCGACACACGAGTGTATTCATATACAGTAAATAGTTATGTAGTAAACATAAAAGTTAATATTTCTTGAGCATCTCCTAATCCATACCTCAATTAATCCTCATAACAATGTGTACTATTATTATCCCAATTTCTTGATGGAGAAAACTGATGCGCAGGGAGATAAAACAACTTGCCCAAGGTCACAGCCAGGAGGCAGGGGAGCTGGGGTTTCCACCCTGGCAGCTGGCTGCGGAGAAGGAGAGCTCTCCTGTGTGTTACCATTACGCACCCTGGCTTATTTGTCAGGTCCAGATTTAAATACATCCATATTTCAAGTATCAGATGTTCTGAAAACCTGATGATGAAGGAAAGTGTTTGATGACTTTCCTTTTGATTCTAATTATTAAAGAAAAGATACATGTAATTCTCCAGTTATATGGAATATATAAGAAAACAAATCAAAATGAATTAAAACACATTTTTCCAGGCCAGGCATGGTGGCTCCCTCCTGTAATCCCAGTACTTTGGGGGGCTGAGGCCAGCAGATCACTTAAAACCAGGATTTCGAGACCAGCCTGGCCAACATGGTGGAAACCTGTTTCTCTACTAAATATACAAAAATAATATACATATAGTAATAATAAACTAGTTGGGGTTGGTGGTGCACACCTGTAATCCAAGCTACTAGGGAGGCTGTGGCATGAGAATTGCTTGAACCCAGGAGGTGAGGTTGCAGTGAGCTGAGACCGTGCTACTGCATTCCAGCCTGGGCAACAGAGCGAGATCCTGTCTCAAAAAACAAAACAAAACAAAACCCAACACAAACAAAATCAACACAAACAAAATTACCAACACATTTTCCCTATTTTAACCCCTGTATTTTCTCTCCCAAAGAGCAAAACAATAAAGAAAAGCCCTTTATTTGCTCCTACTTTTTGAAATTAACTGTTCCAATTTTTAAATTCCTGGTTTTAAGAATGTAAGCAAAAAAACCGACAAAAACTGCTTCTGACATGGAAGAGGAAGCCACTGCGCTCAGCAGGTCTGGAACTGATGGGGGCCAGTCTGCTGGGGTCTGCGCTGGAGTGTGGGAGAATCCTCTTTGCAGAGAGGACACGGGAACGCTTTCAGCGTCCTGGGATAAAAGACTTCAGAAGAAAGGCGCCTCTCAATGAATGGTGCTCAAAATGGGCTGGAAAACAGGGGAAACAGGCCCTCTCAATGAAAAGCCGAAAAACTGAGTTTTTTGTTGATTCCCTCACTGTGAGACACTGCTCTTCCCCCCTCATCCTCCCTGACCCCTTCCCCAGCTCATCTCATTGGGCCCAGAGAAAAGGCCTCTTGTTGAAACCCCATCTGCCTGCCACTCATCCACATTCTTTTATCTCTGCCCAGGGTCTGGCAGTTGGGCTGGGGTTTCAGCTGCCAGAAATTTTGGGTTTCACATAGAATATTCCCAAGATGAGCATCTGAGAGATGTCAGTTTACATCAAAATTGCCTTCTCCAACAAATAGCCAGAGAGCTTTCTTTCCCTAGCAAGGTTGGGAAATAATACTCTTTTCAAGATCACGCCAGTACAAACTCAGATCCACTCTCAGCAAGGCCTGACTTAAAGGGACAGGAAACCACCTTGGTTTTACACTAAAAAACAGAATGAGTTTTGAAGCTGGATTAAAGATGGAAAATTAGTCATGTTTCCTTCTTTGACGGTGCTTTGTGTAACAATGAATATTGCATATAACAAATTCTTGAGAATGGAGTTGTAGCCAAGCTCACAGAGGAAAGTCTTGGGTGATGTTAAAAAATCACCAATCCATAACAACTTGTGTAGTTGGCAAAGTCCAATGGATGGCGGGGCGAGGATGAAGATAAAAAGATAAAAAAGAGAAAGCAAAATTTCTTGGAGACATTTCACTGATTCATAGGGAGTTCTGTAACAAAGGGAGCAGAGCACTCTTTGAAGTGGAAGCTTGGGTCACTCAACTGAGTTGGTTAGAACGCACAGGAGGGAAATTGTGAGAAAGTCTGATTTTCTAACCCTGCAGGAAATCTCTGCTCATAATGATATTTCAAGCATTGGGACATTCACCGCAAAGATAACACTAGATTCTAACTGTTATGCAGGGAAATTCAGGCATAAGGATGGGCAGAGGGGTGTCCAGATTGGAGATCCACAGGCTCTTTAGCCCCAGCTCTGAATATGAGCAAGTCAGCAGAAGCAATAAAGGACAGAAACCCTGTTTTCTATTCATCCCCTTCCAGGGTTGTCCTTTGTTAGGCTGATTTTTGTCTCGAGTGGACGTGGGAGGTAGCAGGGTGGGAGTTGGGGTAGGTGGGGTTGGGATGTGGGAAGGTGGGGGGTTGCCAGAGGGCTTGGGATTGGGATTTCCTTAGGTGGTGAAAGCCTGGCAGCCTCTCTCCATCCCTTACCCACCCCAGCCCCCCTTTTTTCCTCTCCCTGTGGAGAATAAGCAAATATCTTCTGGTCAGCTTATTTTCCCTTTCAGCAGTAGCTCTAACCGCGGAGGCAGAAAGATCTTTCTAAAGTAAAAATGAGAACTTCACACTATCGCTGAAAATCCTGCAATGCTGCCTATCATCCCAAGGTAAGCTATGGCCCAAAGGTCCTCCCCATGGCGCAAATGTGGGGTGACTCTTAAAATGATCAACCAAAGGACTTAAAAAAATATTTTGAAAACCCACTTTATTGAAATATAGTCAAAGGACAGTTTTGAAAGTGAAAATGGGTGCAGAGAAAATCATGCCAGGGCAACAGAGGCTGTCCCAGAAGAATCAACATGTGTAGTCACTGATCCAAAAGGCCCTTGGAGACCTGGCCCTTGGCTACCTCCTCAGCTTCTTCTCATATCCCGCTTCCCTCTGCTCTCTCTGTGCCTTTGATGCCAGATTCCTTTTGTCTCTGTGCCCTGCCCCACTTCAGGGCCTTCACACATTCCGTTCTCTCTGCCTGGCTCAGTCCCCTTTATCCATCTCTCCTGGCTAGTGTCTGTGGGGCTCTCCTAGAGTCTGTGCTTTATCTAGGGAAGCCTTCTGTGTTGTGTTTGGTTTATTTTTATTTTTGCTAACAGAAAGCAAGCAGGGACCAGACTTTAATATCAGACAAAAATGAATGGAAGGCCTAAGGCACGTAGACTATGGCCGGCTGTGAGAATGTCTTTGCCTCCGCTGCATCTTTACCAGCTTGTTCGTATTCTTCCTATCTCTTCCCTAAGTCTTTCCAACTCATCTGCTTTTATCATTTCTTCAGGATCCAAATGCCTAAAAGGGAGCATCCTCTTTAAATCCCCAGTTAGCCCTCATCTGGGGTTTCCTTCTGCTTCCTGGCTTACACCTTCTGAGGAGGGCTGAGACTTCCTTTTGCTTCCTGGGGGATACCTTTCCAAGGGTAGACTCCCTCAGCCTTTGACATGTTCTGTGGATTTTCTTCACAAGACTCTTGCATATTGAGTATTTTTTTAAAAAAATTATTTCCTTTTTGAATAAACTGATCTTGAAAGGACCCAGGTCACTTTTCTCCTTCTCTAGCAATAGGGAGTGGCTATAAGGAAACAAGCCCTGGACCATAAACCCTGTGTGTTTTATGGTCCTGAGGACCAGAGGTGATAGTCCAAAGATACAGTCACTGCTGGGTAATATGAACAAAGAAATGAATGAGCAAATGGATGAATGAATGAACAATGATCTCCCTTTGCCTTGGTCAGCTTTGGCTTGGTCAGCTTGGGCTGCCGTATAGACTGCATGGCTTAAGCAACAGACATTTCTTCTCTCATAGCTCTAAAGACGGGAGTCTGAGATCAGGCATCAGCATAGCTGGATTCCAGTGAGGGCTCTCTTGATATGTCCTCACATGACAAAGAGAAAGAGAGAGAAAGAAGAGAGAATATCTCTGGCGTCTCTTCTTGTAAGGGCACTAATTCCATCACAAGGGCCCCACCCTCATGACCTCATCTGAACCCAATTACCTCCAAAGGCCCTGCAAATACCGTCATATTGGGAACTAGGGCTTCAATGTATGATGTTTGGGAGGACACAATTCAGTCTATAGCACCATTTAATTCTCTAAATAAATGAAACTATATGTTGAACAAATCTGCTTACTGAGTAATATATTGCAGCTTAAGTTGTTCATCAGATCATTGCCATAATTTCCAAATTATTTTCTAAAAACTATTTTAAAATTTTTAAATGTTTTAAAACTATTTAAAACTACTTTAAAAACTATGTATTTAAAAATTAATTACTGATTCACAGCAAGTTGCAAACTTAAAACAGAGGCTCTGTGCACTCATCACCTGGTTTCTTCCAATGGAAACATTTACATAACTACAGTGCAATATGAAATCAGGACAGCAGTATGGGTATAATCCAAGACCTTATTTGGATTTTGGCAGTTTTACATGCACTTTACATTTATACATTGTGTGTGTATATGTACTTCTATGCAGTTATATCATATATGTAGATTTGTGTATCCAGCACCACAACCAAGACACAGGACTGCTCTGTCACCACAAAGATCTGTTGTGATCATCATTTTTTTTTTTTTTTTTGAGATGGAGTCTTTCTCTGTCACCCAGGCTGAAGTGCAATGGTGTGATCTCAGCTCACTGCAACCTCTGCTTCCTGGGTTCAAGAGATTCTCCTGCCTCAGCCTCCTGAGTAGCTGGAATTACAGGTGCTCACCACCATGCCCAGTTAATTTTGTTATTTTTAGTAGAGACGGGGTTTCACCTTGTTGGTCAGGCTGGTCTCAAACTCCTGACCTCAGGTGATCCACCTGCCTCGGCCTCCCACTGTGCCCGGCCTGTGCTACTCTTTCATCTCCTCTCCACCTCCCACCCTGTCTCTAACCCCTGAAAACATACCTTTTTTTTCATCTCTATAGTTTTGGGTGGGTGCTGCAATGCCCCTCCAGGTCCTGTTCTAGGCCCTGCTTTCCCTGCTGTGACCATCTCTGGTTGATATTAGTAAAAAACATATATAATTCATAAACCAGTACAGAAATATTTCAACATGCTAACAATCTTTATTTGTACTGGTATGTACTTATTGAGTAAGTACATATTCAATAGAACTGTATAGAACCTTCTTTTTTTACTGTTATTTTAGGTTTAAGGGTACCTGTACAGGACTGTCATATAGGTAAACTGTGTCGTGGGGATTTGGTGTACAGATTATTTAGTCACCCAGGTAAAAAGCATAGTACCCAATAGGTATTTCTTTTAAATCTTCTCCCTCCTCCCACCCTCCACCCTCAAGCAGGCCTGGGTGTCTGTTGTTCCCCTCTTTGCATCCATGCATTCTCATTGTTTGGCTCCCATGTATAAGTGAGAATATGTGGTATTTGGTTTTCTGTTCCTGTCTTGGTTTATTTATGACAATGGTCTCCAGCTCTATGCATGTTGTTGCAAAGGAGATGATCTTGTTCTTTTTTATGGCTGCATAGTATTCCATGGCATATATACATTTTCTTTAACCAGTCTACTTCTTCTTCTACTATTTTTTTTTTTTTTTTGAGATAAGTCTTCTTCTGTCACCCAGGCTGGAGGCAGTGGCATGATCTCTGCTCACTGAGACTTCTGCTTCCTGTGTTCAAGTGATTTTCCTGCCTCAGCCTCCTGAGTGGCTGGGATTACAGGTGTGAGCTACCACACTTGGCCTAGCCAGTCTAATACTGATGGGCTTTTAGGTTGATTCCATGTCTTTGCTGCTGTGAATAGTGCTGCAGTAAACATACATGTTTTTAAGGTAGAACTAATGTTTGTCTTAAGGTAGAACTAAAGGTGCGTCTTTAAGGTAGAACTAATTAATAACTTTTTTCTTTTAAACATGTATCACATTTAAAGTAGTGTTCAGGCCAGGCATGGTGCCTCATGCCTATAATCCCAGCACTTTGGAAGGCCAGGGTGGGAGGATTGCTTGAAGATAGTCTGAGCAACATAGTGAGACCCTGTCTCTAGAAAAAATTTAAAAAAAAAAAATAATGTGGCAGTGCATGCCTATAGTCCTAGCTCCTCAGGGGGGTGAGGTGGGAAGACTGCTTGAGCCCAGGGGATCGAGGCTGCAGTAAGGTCTGATCGCACCACTGCACTCCAGCGTGGGTGACAGAGCGAGACCTGCCTAAAATAATAAAATAAATTTAAAAAATAGTGTTCAGTTTCTGTCTTTTAATCTCCTTGCAGTCAGAGCCCTCCTGTACTTGTCCTTTCTCCAGCACCTAGCTCAGTGCCAGCACAGAATAGGCACTTAAAGCACTTTTGCCAGATGAGGAGTGAATAAATGGGAGCCTGTTTTGTGGATGGCTTGCTGGATCTAAACTGATTTCTCTTAAGAAGAAACTATTCATTCCTTTTTAAAATGATGCGTTTCCCCTCAGGTTCTACTGGAATTTTTTTTTTTTTTTAATCAAGGAAGAAGGCAGTGAATGTGCGAGCAGCTGCTAGCCTAAGCAGCCTGATTATGGTGTTCACAATGTCTCCTGCCCACCTCACTAGTTTGAAGTAAGCACAGGAAATTACGTAAATTGGCAATAAGAGTCCAGCAGTTGGGATCAGGGAGGTGTGCATATTTGCGTATCCAATTTTCTGCTCCCCCACCAAGCGAACACATGGAGTTTTGACCTTCCATATGTTTTTAATGCGTGTCAGAGATAAGTGTTCCAACAAGTTGGAAGCAACAGGTTGAGTTTTCCGCACCCCCCACTCCCTTCTTCCATCTGAAGCTGCTTCAAGCAGGCTGTGCATGTGTGGGAGAGACAAAACAACCTCCCATGGCACTAGGCCTTCTCAGAACGTTCTGGACTCCTACCCTCTTGAATTGTTTAATCTGGAAATCTTCCCTGGCGTGCAGGGCTGGATTAGGTACAACCTCTTGCCCCTAGCACCCTGTGTTTATCTTACAAGGCACGGACGATGCTGTCCTGGAATTGACTGTATTCTGGTCTGTCACCCACATTAGACTAAACCTGAGAAGATTAGGGCCCTTTCTTTCTTCTCTACCTCATTCCTGGTGCCTGACATCATGCCTGACCCAGAGTTGGGGCTGAGAATCTATTTTGTTAGATGAATGAAGAAATGACTAGGAGGGAAATAAGAGCATTAATCAGAGCTTTCTGATTGTCAACAAGTCATCTGGGCTTCTGACACCTATAAATTCTGGTTCTTATTATAAGAATCACCAAAGACTACAGGTTGTTCATTCTGTAATTCAGTGGTTCTCAAGTTTGAACACCCAGCAGAATCATGTGGAGGACTTGTTAAAATACAGATCAATGGGCCTTATTCCCAGAGTCTCTGATTCAGCTTATCCTGGGCTGGGGCTCTAAAGCTGCATTTCTAACACATTTATTGGTAATACTGGTGCTGCTCTTCTGGGACCACAGTTTGAGGATGACTTTAATAATAAATAGAGAGGTTATGCTCAAATTACATTTCCTTCACACTGAAATCTGCACTGCATAATGTTTTAAAATGTCAATATCACTGCTTATGATGTAAAATTAGCTTTATTAACTTGAATATGATTTAAAGCACATAGGAATCTGAAATTTTGACTTTGTGATAGATGACTATGCTGGGCTTTTCATCCATGTGAATAACATATTTAAAAGGCATTTGGCCATGCAAGGTGGTTCATGCCTGTAATTGCAACACTCTGGGAGGCTGAGGTGGGTGGATCACTTGAAGCCAAGAGTTTGAGACCAGCCTGGCCAACATGGTGAAACCCCGTCTCTACTAAAAATACAAAAGTTAGCTGGGTGTGGTGCTGCGCACCTATAATCTCAGCTACTTGGGAGGCTGAGGGATAAGAATTGCTTGAACCTGGGGGTGGAGGTTGTAGTGAGCTGAGATTGTGCTACTGCACTCCAGTCTGGGCGACAGAGCAAGACTGTCTCAAAATTTAAAAATAAAATAAAATAAAGAAAAGGCATGTGGAAGAAAGATCATGGGCTTTGGAGCCAGCAGGACTTGGCTTTGACTCTCACTCTACCAGTGACTGCCCAGGAGACCTTGGGCAAGTTAATTGCTTACTTAGGGTATCAGAATCTTCATCTGTAAGATGATGATAGAAAAGACTCTTTTCAGTTGCTGGAAGAAACAGGAAAAACAAACAAATATCCCTTCTTAGGTAAAGATACATTGGATCACGAGACTAAAAACAGTAAGTTTGTACAGCAAGGAATATAGTGTTTTCTGAAGCTATGCAGCTCCTGAGTTTAGATCATGAGAATTATAATGGAAAATTGATCTCAACTTATTTGGTTACTCAGTGTGGACAGTAAGAATTTGGAAAGAGGGATGTTTACATAAGCAAAATGACTTTTTTGTTGTTTTCTACACGGTAGATGCTCAGTAAATGATAGCTATAACAGAAAAATTGAAGGCAAGAGAATAATGTTTGCATAAAATACATGGATATATTATATAGGAAAAATCTTCATTACTTGAGTATTTGTTATTTGAGAACTTACAGGTGCCCAGTTGTGGAGGAAAGCTGAAGTTGTGGTAACACAGGAAATATTCACCAATGACATGACCATCACAAAATTAGTCCCTACTCAAATTCTTCCTGGCTCAGCATCTCTTTTGTTCATTATGTACAGTTTTAGATGCTGCCCCTCTCTTTTTGCCCATTGGGTGTCCACCTAGTGAAAAGGCAAACACAATAAAAAGCTTCTTGAACGTGATCAGTGAATGAATCCTTACAAATGCACAGGATTTCCTAAAGTCGATGAAAAGATGTTAGAAAATATGCAGAGTTATGTAGAAACAGGGATCTAGCAGGAGAGTAGCTTACAACTGAAAAAGAAAATCCAGAAGGATGATGTTATGACGGTTTCAAGAGATAATTATTTGACTATCAAAGGATTGACAGAGATGTTGAGAAAAGCAATAAGGCCCTCAAATAGTTTTTCACAACTCATTCTCTTTTGATAAAACTACAGGAGTCAACAGAAAGGGATTATGCCATTTTATGCTATGATTGTAAACACACAAAGTGTTAGATATTTTGTCAGAAATATTATGTTAAAACTACATGATGCTTGTGTTTTCTAAGAATTGGTGTACAATAATATAATCTAAATAAGCAGTTAACAAATTACAGCTTGAGGGTCAAATCTGGCCCACCATCTGATTTTGTAAATAAAACTTTATTGGAACACAGCTATGTCCATTCATTTACTTAGTGTCTATGCGGCTTATATACCACAATGACAGATTTGAGTAGTTGTAGCAGAGACCTCATAGCCCACAAAGAGAAAGATATTTGTTATCTGGCCCTTCCAGAAAAAGTTTGCTGACAGTTTACCTAAGATTCTGTTTTAAAATAAGCTTTTCCTCTTTTAACAGATACAGTTCTAATAAAAAAAAATTCCCTCCACTTTTACACTGACATTGTAATTTTCATTTTAAGTGAATTTCTTTTAGGTGATACCTTTCTCTCTCCTCTCCCCAAATTATGTTTAGCTGATGAGGCCTCCTTATAATTCAGGATAAAACATGACTATTCGTAAAGATAAATTATTGCTGGCCCCCAGTTTAACAGTGCAAGGTTTTTGAATCAGACTGGCTATGTTTGAATCCTGGTACTGCCACTTACTAGCCAGGAGTATCCATGCATGGTATCTAATCTTTCTGGGTCTCAGGTTCCTCCTCTGTCATATGGGGATAGTAGCATAAACTCTGTTCAGTTGGTAAGCTAAAACAAGATAATGAAGATCAGGCTCTTAACCCAGTCCCTGGCACACCGTATACATACTCAGTGGCAGCTGCTGTCGTGTCTATCTGCCCTGAGTTTGGAATCACCATTTACATGGCCTGGGATCTGAGTGCTGAGTTCCTCCAAGGTTTCTGTGAGTTGTTTGCTGTAAGGCAATGCTACGGTTTGGAAATCACTGCTAGGAATGGAGGCAAATCCTTCACCAAATCAACTAGTTCATTCTGTTTAAAAAAGTAAGGGGCCAGTTAAGAATTTATCTTCACTTTTAAAGATGTTTCCTCAGTCAGTGCATGTTAGAAATTGCAGCAACAGCAGCGGGGAGGAAGGTTTTCACAACAATCTGACTCCAGCAGGGAGATTCGGCCCAACACAGCTTGCGTATAAATATTCCCAGATGTTGTGACTTCAAGAGGGAGGCATTTTGTCATTAGGAGAAGTGGACAAAAATGACAGCCGCAAGGCAGTGATGGTAATGAGGGTGGTAGTCAGCAGGCCAGGGGAGAGCAAGGTGATTTCCTGGCTGGGTCACGCTGAGAAACAATACAGGCTTTATTCCTCCCAGCCTTGCCCTGGTTTGCAAAATATTTGCAGGAGCAGCTCTCATTGTCCTGGTTTGCAGAATACCTGCAGTAGCTTCTAAGTTGCTCCCCAACTATCCCATCTTCTTGTATTTGTGTATGCCCTGTCCTTCTAACCAACAGAAAAGGTAAAGATGATAAGATATCACTTTTCTAATTAGGTTATAAAAGTGTTTAACTTCCATCTTGCTAGCAGACTCTCTCTATTGCCTTCTCAGCTTGTACATTTTTATGAAATAACTTGCCATGCGGGAGAGATCTACATGCCAAGGAACTGAGGGTGGCTCCTGGCCAACAGCCAACAAGGAACTGAGAGCCTCAGTGAACTGGATCCTGCCAACCATCATGTAAGTGAGTGTGGAAGCAGATCCTTCCCCAGTAGAACCTTCAGATGAAATCCCAGTCCTGACTGACATCTCCATTACAGCCTGTGAGAGACCATGGAGCAGAGGACCCAGCTAAGCTGTGCCCAGAGTCCTGACCCATGGAAACTGACATAATATATGTGTGTTGTTTTAAGCCACTAAGTTTTGGAATAAGTTGTTGCGTAGCAATAGATAGCTAATATAGATTTCTCCCTTAAAATTAAAAAGCAGACAAAAGACCTACCTTTCTTCTGAGGGATGATGGGTAGATTGTCACTTATTTGGGTTTATCTCAGTCATTCTTTATCTAACATGACATGATATTAAGAACAGCACATTGCTGATAATATTGATAGATTCATTTGTGTAAGTCACACCTCTGATATCGCCCTTCCCCTATTTAAAAAGCTTCATTGGTTCCCACTGACTGAATGAAAGAAGTTCAACTTTTTTATTTGGCATTCAAGGCTCACTTTGATATTTGTCCTCTATAAGCTGTTAAAATGATCATCCTAAAACATCAATTATCACGTTACTCCTGTGCTTATAAAAGTCTCTGTTCAAGTCTGGCTTCCAACTAGAGTAAACCTGTGTTCCACAGCATCAAGTCTTACCATGATCTGGCCCCTCCTACCTTTCTGAAGTTTAGCTCTTGTTACCCAGGCTGGAGTGCAATGGCACGATCTTGGCTCACTACAACCTCCACCTCCTGGGTTCAGGCAATTCTCCTGCCTCTGCCTTCTGAGTAGCTGGGATTACAGGCATGCGCCACCATACTCAGCTAATTTTTTTTTGTATTTTTACTAGAGACAGGATTTCACCATGTTGACCAGGATGGTCTCGATCTCTTGACCTCGTGACCCACCCACCTTGGCCTCCCAAAGTGCTGGGATTACAGGCGTGAGCCACCGCACCTGGCCCTGACTTACACTTTTCTTTTGAGACAAGTTCTTGCTCTGTTGCTCAGGCTAGAGTGAAGTGGCATGATCGTGGCTCACTGCAGCCTCAAACTCCTGGGCTCAAGCAATCCCCCCATCTCAGCTTCCTGAATTGCTGAGACCACGGGCATATGCCACTATATCTGGCTAATTTTTTAATTTTTTGTAGAGACAGGATCTCATTAAGTTGCCCAGGCTGGTCTTGAATTCCTGGGCTCAAATGATCCTCCTGCCTTGGCCTCCAAAACTGCTGAGATTATAGGCATGAGCCACTGTGTCTGGCCTCTGCCTCATGCTTAATCTCTCAGCAACACAGGATAGCTTGTTATGTGTTCCCCAATCCACACAATGTACCCTCTCCTGCCCGCTCCACTTCCTGTCTTTACGATGTCTTTCTCTTTGACTCAGTTGCTATTCTCTTCCTTTCATTCTCTATATTCCTTTCTTGGGAAAATTCATTCTTAAAGTTCAGCTCAGATCATCTGAATAGTAATGTGAAAACATACTCATCTGCTTGGATCTGCATAGACTGTGTCCAGAAGAATCCAGAACAAATCAGTGACTTTGGTTATCTCTGGGGAGCGGGTATTGAGAAGGCCTGAGGGATAGAGTTTGAGAGAGAGAATCTTCATGGTAACCCATTTTGTGCCTTTTAAATTTTATAGCATATATTTATCTGTTCAATCAAACATTAAATGAAGCATTTATAATAAAAGAAAAAAGTTAATTTCTCAATTTACCTTTGCTGGGAGCCTTCCCTGACTTTCTTTTACTGAGTTGATTGTGTGATGTCCTGTTTGTGTATCTGTCACCTCTTCCAGTCTCTACTGTCCTGGAGTTCAGTGATCTTTCCTTGTTCTTCCCTTATTCTTGTCCCTAGTGGCTCAGCACAGTGCCTGCTACTTCACAAGCCCTCAAAATATCTGAGGAATAAAACTGCTACACTTACAAAGGAAATTCCCACCACCCCTCAGGCTCTCTATGGGTGCTGGCCTTTCCTGCCTCTGCTCTAGCTCTTACTGTCCCCTCTCCTTGGATTTCCCTTTCCTCTATTACTTCATTTTTGAAGTCTCCTCACTTTGAGCTCAGCTCTCACCCCAGGAAGTCATCTTCCCTCTGTCTGATTTCTCATATACTCCTGAAGTATTTTATTTTTATTTTTTTTTGAGACAGAGTTTCACTCTTGTTGCCCAGGCTGGAGTGCAATGGTGCGATCTCAGTTTACTGCAGCCTCCACCTCCTGGGTTCCAGCGATTCTCCTGCCTCAGCTTCCCAATTAGCTGACTAGCTGGGATTACAGGTGTGCACCACCACACCTGGCTAATTTTTTTTTTTTTAGTAGAGATGGTGTTTCACCATGTTGACCAGGCTGGTCTCGAACTGCTGGCCTCAGGTGATCCACCTGCCTTAGCCTCCCAAAGTGCTGGGATTACAGGTATGAGCCACCATGCTGGGCCACTCCTGAAGATTTTTATTTATCCTTTATATTAGGGACTGGTGTACTACAGCCTGTGGCCAAATGTGACCCATTCCCTGTGTCTATAGATGAAGACACCATTTATATATATATATATAATTTATTTGGTCTCACTTGGATGCCCAGGCTGGAGTACAGTGCTGCAATCTCTGCCCACTGCAGCCTTGTCTTCCCGGACTCAGGCAATCCTCCCACATCAGCCGCTCAAGTAGCTGGGGGTACAGGTGTGTGCCACCACATCCAGCTAATCTTTTGTATTTTTAGTAGAGACAAGGTTCCCATGTTGCTCAGGCTGGTCTTGAACTCCTGGGCTCAAGCGATACCTACCTCAGCCTCCCAAAGTGCTAAGATTACAGGCGTGAGTCACTGCACCTGGCCCACACCCATTCTTTTACACAATGTATATGGCTGCCTTCTCCTTCCAATGGCAGGGTTGAGCAATGCCATAGAGACTCTCAGGCCTGCAAAGCCAAATGTATTATCTACTATCTGGATCTTTACAGAAAATATTTGTTCTCTCCTGATTTATATCATAATTATATCATTCACTATTCTGCTCATTAAGATATAAACTTGGACTCAAACTCTGTGTTGGATCCAGCCAAAGTCATTACCCAGCAAAAGAGGCTGCCCACCCCTCCTCTGAGCCTCTGGAATGCCATCCCACAGAACATCTTCCCATTCCCACAGTTACTCACATCCTTTCCTGCCTCCGCTTTGAGCTTGCAGCCTGTCTCCACCTGAACTCAGCTCTCTTGGGCTGGTTTCTTCTTGTTCTCCTACTCTCACCCCAATTCCCCAACCTAGAGAGGCATTCCCTGACCCCTTACCTATTTAGGTAGTGGTGCTAGTTTCTGTTCTGACACCTGTGTATCCCTGTATGATACATACTACAAGCTGTAATTCTTTTTATTTATCGGTTTGGCTCACTCTCTTATTAGACCATGATCTCCTTGAAGGCAGGAACTTTATCTATCTAGTTTCCTACTGTATTTGCAATGTCTTTTTTTTTTTTTGAGACAGGGTCTTGCTGTGTCACCAAGCTGTAGTGTAGTGGCATGATCGCAGCTCACGCTTTGCAATGTCTCACACAACCTCTGTCACACAGGGGATAAGTAGTATAGGAAATACTATTTACTGACTAAGCAGATGAGTGAGTGACTAAATCTTTGTCTCCATCAGAGTGACTAGCTGAGTGTCTAACAGGCACTCAACACTATTTGTTGAATGAATGAATAATGTAAGAGGGGCCACTTAATCATGAGCATACTGATAAAGGAAAGGAACTCATTGCAGGGTTCTCTCCGCCCTTTAATATCAAGCTCATGGAAAAGAATAGCTTCCTTCAGCTCCATTTAAATTATTCAGGACAAAGGAAAGGAAGTAGGCTCTCAAGGGACATGCTAGAATATTCTCCGATTGTGTGTGTCTATGTGTGTGTACATCTGTGTGTGAGAGAGAGACAGAGAAATAGGGAGGAGAAAGAGAGAAATATGTATTAGCCTGTAGGTCAGGCTGCTGCCCATAGACTTGGGGAATAAGGGAATACACTAGTTCTATGGGGTTTTGAACAAATATGCTGCCAGTGGACTGTGAAATCTGTTTTTCCTTAGAATCAGCAGTTCAGAAGTTGGAATACCTACTTAATATGTTTTTTAAAGCAATACTGTTTTGGATTATAAAATGGATGCATGTATTGCAAAGAATTTAAAAACTAAATAAAAGATAAATTAGAAAATAAAAATTACCCTTAATTTCACTGGACATTTTGTCTTACCTATATGTATTTTAGATTTTCTTTCTCTCTCCCTCCCTCTCCCTTCCCTCGCTTCCTTTTCTCCCTCTCTCGCTTCCTTTGTTCCTTTCTTATTTGTTTTCAATACATTTGAGACCTATTTCCCATTATATCCTGAACATTGTCTCATAACATTAAATTTTTTCAGCAATAACATTTTAAAGAACCATATAATATTCCATAAAATTTACTCCAGGAAATTTATTCAGTCCCCTATATGAGTTGTTTTCTATTTATTGGTGCTATCACTGTATACTTAACTAATATACAATTCTACAGTGGATAAATCTGGTAGTTTTGCACTTCCTTTAACTAGATTTATAGAAGTAGAATTATTGGCTAAAAGGATAAAATTTTACAAAATTGTTTACAGGTATGGCCAAATTAATTTTGTGGGACCGATACAGATCCACAGTCCTAACCTCATGACTATTTTGCCATAGACTTTCTTCAATATCATTACATTGCTATTGATACAGAAGGGGGACAGGGAAGGTGCTGGGAGGAGGGCAAGGTCCCTGGCTAGGGCTCTACCCCTGAGCCCGTGCCCATGGACCTAGGTGAAGACAGGTATTTTTTTTTTTCCTGCTTAAATGTTACATTTCTAAAGACCACGCTGGCCTGCCATGCTTCCATCCTGTGCCTATAGAAACCCAGAGACTTAGCAGGCAGATACCCAGGTGGCTGGATGTCGAGAGGAACACATCAGTGGAGGAGCACATGGGCATGCCGGCAGGCCATCAGGCCATCAACGGTGGAAGGAGGTGGAGTT